CATTCGATCTGAGCGATCTTTTCGCAAGCAGTTCTCATGGGTTCGACTTGGGTCACTTGAGCCTGTGGGTCACGTGGGCCTGTGGGGCTATGCGGGGGCGAGTGTAGGGTAACGACCGCAAGCAGCTCTGCGTTCGCTGTCCCGCTCTCTAGGGCCTCCCAGGTGGCCGCTGTCCCGTGCTCGCTCTGCCCTGTTTCTCTCTGGCCGCTCTTCACCAACTATTCTGTAACATGATGTAGTAAAAAACGCGTATGTAGCGATTCGTTGCCTCCGATGATTTCGCGTGCTCTTCCTGTAAGTCTTTTCATTTCATTTATCCTTCTACTACACCACTTTCTGGATACATACAAGTATATTACTGTTCAGTACCACTAAGTTAGGCTGTGAGAGGCGAATGCGTTCAGCACCATCGTCCAGATTCACATATCACAGCTTTCTATTTTGTCATTGTTTGTAGTCATCGACTATCACAATGGTTTAAAGTTGGTAACGGACCTTGTTATGCTTTATGCCAAGGGCCAAATTTCCCAGTTGCAAATGCCAAAAGTTTTATAAGCAATTAAGTAGAATGCGTCAGCAAAAGTCGTGCAGTTTCCCATAAAATTGGTCTAGAATGAAGCCGGAGAAAAGACAAAGCATAGTGGATTCTTCTGTCAATATCTTCGATCATTACTTACTTAGAACTTTCATTTACACTTGATTTTTGTCTCATGATGTCACGGTTCTCGGTTGCTATCTTCTCACAGTTGTCAGAAACAATTTAAACAAATAAGGTTCTCATATTAAATAGCGCGGCGACCTTATTGCTTTCGTCATTATCGGGTTTTCCGTAATCATTGTGTATAACAGGACACTTCCTTGTGTCGCGCGGGTTCATCATCGGCGCGTTTTCCAAGGATTCGAACTGAGAAACGCTGAAGTGTTCCGGGAAAACTAGTAATACTCAAGATGGATCCAAAGGTTAATATGGACGCAGACACAAATGAAAGCAAAGAATCGATCTCACGCAAAACCGAGGTGTTTATTGATGGTGGGAACGATGAGGAATCAGTACCAAATATTTACGCGAACAGCGGGTCCATCTTAAATCCGCCTGCACAGCAATCTCAAGAACAGGCATCGTTATTGACGAATGGACTTCCCGGGCTATTCCCACTGCTAAATTCGACGTCCAATACTCAGTTACCGGAAAGTGCGAAAGAAGGATTTACCCTGCAGCAATTTGCTGCAAACCTTTGTCTAACGCAGCTCTTTACAAGTGCTCTACTTTACCCAATGATGATGCCATCATTTAACGATTCTTTCACATGGCCACTTACGCCACCTTTGTCACTGGTAACTTCTTCACCTAACACAAATAATCAATGTTACCAAAGCTCACCCTCTGTGTCCACTCCAGTCACACCCTTTCCTCTTGAATTTCCTAATCTACAGCAGGAAACTAACCTCAATCAGTTTTTGTCACCCGCACAGTCTCCTTTTTGTCCACCTAGTGTGGGCACTCCTGGTGTCCCTTTGGTCAAACCACTGGTGAATACTGGGCAGTTATTCACACAACTCCATGTGGACGTTTCTCTGTCCACAAGTCAAGAAATGCTTCCACAAAAAGTTTCCTTACCATCATTCGTGGGAATGGCTCAGTCGGACTTACCATTCAGGAAAAGAACGTTTGCAGATGTAGGATCTTCTGGAGACTCAACCACTACTCCGTTAGGTGAGCATTGACTGATGGTTTTATAGCTGACACTGACTTTAAAAGTTTTGATCTGAAAACACTAGCTGAGAAGTGTTAAACCTTAAGAAATATAACCAGGTCTGCTTTGTAACTGCAGAGAGCGATGAGGTCTGAAGTCGGTGGGTTGGTGAGCTACTGCTTTAAGTTTGCCACTTTTATGGTTTATTTTTCTTTTAAATCAATTGCGACCAGTTCTTATTCAGTTTAGGAAGCCTGTTTCAGTTTCTGCACAACGGAGACCTAGTGTGCCGCTGCCTTCGATTAATCCAGCCACTCACAATATGATGGCGTCACTGTCCGCGTCGACGATGATGCAGTGCAGTTCCATTGCTGGCCCGTCCAGAATGGCTTCTCATTCTGCAGAGGATCAGCGAGTAACAACATTCGTGCCTGGAACATCATATCCAAAGTTTTGTGAGGAACAAGCATCGTCTTCCACACATTGTGTGCCCGGAACATCCTCTGTTCCATCGGTGGGTGCTTCCCCGTTAATGGCTCACACCGATTCGCAGTCTTTCTGGCAACGTATTAGTAAATATGGTTCTACCCCTGCTAGATATTATCCATCGGTAATTTCATTTTCATCGTTGCGTTAAATAAATGTGAGTTCGATATACGTCCGATGTGATTTTAGGGTAAAAAAGTTGGCCGACCTCCGGGCTCTTACAAACGCATGGATCTCGGCTCGACTCTCACGAAGAACAAGTTGGTGTTTAGTTGCTGTACTTAGTTTTATGTACTAAAAAGTCTTCTAAAACAAAGTAGTTATTTTCACGTGTATTTTCGAATATTTTGAATGGACTAAAAATCCAGACTTTTCGGCTTTTATTATGAAGCGTATATGTCATTTTTTCTTGAAAGCCGGGAATAGCTATTAACCATTAGGCGGGACTCTCTGGGGGATTTTTTGTAGTAGTTGGTAAAAACCGTGAGCAACCAAGTTGGACTTATATGCTACCCCACGTGTTCTGGTGTATAAGAGAAACGGAGGATGAACTGGTTGGACCGATTAGTTTCCGAACATTTTTTGTGTCAAACTGATCTGTTCAGTTTTCTTTCCCTTCATGAGATGTGAGAAGTCTTGTTTAGTATTTTTGATTAAATTGAAAATAACCTGTTATTTATTACGTTCCAACGTTAATCGTTGAATGATTTGAAGAGCATCAGTAGAGAGTCTACTCATTTACGTTGTGTGCTTTGCCGTTCTTTCCGTGTGGACTAGGTATATTAGCCGGTAGCTCATCGCACTCTTCTAAAGTTCAAGTGGGCTGTTTTTGTTGCAGCCGCAACAATGACAATTACGTAGTTGTTTTTGTATACTTATAACTCACATCCATCACCTTGGACGTACTGCGTAGGTAGGTAGAGATTGGTTTAAAGACACCAGTTACGGCACCATTTTTCGGGACAACAAACTTTGTGTGATTCACTTGCGATCCCATCCTCGCAGATATGGATTCGATTTCTTCCAATATTACTTCCTTTTAAAGTGCTCTCGGTGTTATCACTTCTATGTCGAAAACATAGTAAAATAGAAGGTAAAGGATAGAGCTCTCGGCATTGACTAATTCCAGAGGGATGCGCCATGCATTCGAGCTCATTAAGCATCGTTGGAGGTGATTGAATGCATATCAGGCCTTTACAATGACTCGCGTTGGATGTCGATGTATCGAGCCAGTGTTGCTATCCTCCCAGACAAATCGGGTATCAAGTTTCTGACCCCGAAGAGATGGAAGACTTGGTGAGTTTTGGGGTCGGAGATGGATTCTATGTGCATTGCAGGAGACGTCTCCAAAGGGTAACAGTGAATATGCTAATACGTGGTAGACGTTTTCGGAATCTACTCCATCCCTATAGGTTCATTTAGAGATGATCTTGCAATTATTCTTGAGGTAAACACTAGTGAGCAGTTTGTTGCATCTCAAGCACTGCAACAAAGTGTTTTGTTAGTTCTCCTGTGTCTTATATCCATAGATCACGAGAAGAGCTGTGTAAAGAAATATTGACACTCTGTTGATTATGTTCGAGCTGAATCGTATCATCGTCGGACGCAATGCGTTTTTTTCACTCACGAGGTGACGTGTTCTACTTCAGAATGGTGATCAGAAGGCACAGCGGATTCGTCCTTCTTGAAAATTGGAAAGAGAATAATTAAGAAAACCTGGTTGTCCTACTTTAAGTTACAAGTGTATCTGGGATGCATGAAGCCTTCGTCTTGATTTTAGAAATGGCGTGCGTTATCACCGAAGGACAACGCTTTTGCCAGTTTCCTTAGATCCTAGCAGTGCTGTCGCTCCTTTTCCTAAGACGTCTTCCTTCCTGATTTCTCTGCACAAAGTTGTTTTTCGTGTGGTTGTTTCCATGAGTTGTGTAATAAGCCTATCGTAGATTTTAATGCGAATATTGTCACACAGGAAAGACGTGGTTGAGATTTGCCCATTTCTTGCCCATGTCTTTCGGCCACCTTTTTATATCTTTCGTTGATTTAATTTCTATTTTGAAGGTCTGCTCAATGGAGTCAGTGGTTTGATACTGTTAAGTTCTTTCTTTCAAGAACAAGAATATGCCTTCGAGTCAAAAACGACCATACACGTTTTATGATAGTCTGAGAAACCCAGCAGTGCTAACTCGGTTTTCATGGGAAATCATACTTGGCTATGTTTGGCAACGTTGGTAGACATGAAATGTCCATTCTCCTTTTGTGTTGCTTCAGCAGAGTACCAGTTTAACAGTGTTAGATGTTTTCCTTGATGAATTAGGTTATAAACAAAGAAAAATCGGGGTGGAAAGTGATCCGCTCATACTAAGTCTATGCCTTTGCTTTATATTGTTAAATGTTGACGACTCGATGTTCTTTTCCATAAGAGGAAAACTCTAGATGCGAAAAATGTTTTCGTTGTTGTGTGCTGTCAAAAGTTGCAGAGTTTTGCCTTTTTTTACATTCACCTCAAGTACATGAATAAGGATGTCAAAAGGTCATAGAAGGTAGTGAGTACTTGTCCTTGCCAACGCTGAATAGATACTCACGCTTGGCTTAGTGGACTCTGTTGTGGTGAATAAGGGCAGGTACTTACTTTTGCCTTTTCCTGAGTGTGGAGGGGTTGTATTTGTTGGTGAACACGATTTTGGTCCTCGAGAAGTTTCTTGGGTAGATATTAGATATGTGCAAGAGTAGCATTCACAGCCCTTTTTTTCCTTCGAAACTCAAGCATTAAAAAGTTACTTCATTTGTAAACGTCTTTCCTTAATGAAAGCTAGCTGGAATGTCGTATTCGATAGTGTGATTTAGACTTACTGTAAGCGATGTTCTTAAAAGAGAATCGGAAGAACATAGCGTCTCGAATGAGGTGGTCGACGTTGAGACGCTGACTGAGGAGAAGTGTGAGTGGGGCGCTTGCCAATTAGTGTTTTCCACACAGAAGGTGATATTTCGCTTTCTTAAACAAGTTTCGATTTTGAAGTAAGTGATTTTAGGCGTTAGTAGATCATGTAGCTGATTGCCACGTAAACATATCAAATCGTGATTGGGTTTGCAAATGGCGAGCGTGTGATCGCACGGAGCCATTTCGGGCTCTTTACATGCTCGTTGTTCATGTACGTAAACACACTGGAGAGAAACCCAACGAGTGTACGGTATGTTGTTGTAGTCTTGTTGTTTTTCTTCCTTCATGAAATGTTTTGAATCATGGGCATTCTGGCAGTGTTTATAGCATCCGGGATGTAACAAATCTTATAGTCGACTTGAGAACTTAAAGACGCATATGAGGACGCACACTGGAGAAAAGTGGGTTGATTTTTTCCCTACTACGTTCATTTGGGTCAGATTATGGCTATTTTTTTTCAGACCATACGCTTGCGAAATTCCCGGATGCCCAAAGGCGTTCAGTAACGCCAGCGATCGCGCAAAGCACCAGAATCGAACTCATTCTAATTTGGTTAGTTGAGCAATCATCAACATTTTGAATGCCTTTTTTAACGGCTATATTAGATAATTGAAAGTAGATTTTGTCGTTTGTCCGTATTATGAACTCTCCACAAGTCTTATTTCATTTTAGACAGCACTATTAGTATTAATGAACTTTCATTGGTTATTTTAAAGTTTTGTTATAGTATTTGTTGGTTGTTTCAGAAGCCTTACATTTGTTCGGTCTCACAGTGTGGTAAGAGTTACACTGATCCATCTTCCTTGCGAAAGCATATAAAAACTGTCCACGGTGATGAGGCTTACGAGAGAGCTAAGAGAAACAGGCCGCATAATACCGGAGGAAGGCGGAAGGTGCTATTTTCGCTTCTTTCATGTGCTTTATACTCGTACCTGTTTCGTTTGTCTTCAGAAGACCAATCAAATGCTGCGCTCTGTGCCGTTGAATATACTAGCAGCAATTCAGCAGGTTCATCCTTTGTTCGTGACATTCTGGCGCGCTGAATCTGCATGTAATATTTTGTAGGTATCCCAAAGTAAAGTTAAGAAGGAAACTGGGATGGATGCTGAGACTGCTTCTAGCGAGGAAACAGATCAAACCGAGAACAGTAATATCAACGAGACCACCAACACTTCTCCTTGTTCCGACGACTTCAACATGAGTATGTGTATTAATCAGTCCTGTGAAACACCAACTGCCATTTCCTACTCTCAGAAGAAATCACAGTCGATATTTATCCTTGCTTTTTTCAAGTGGTAATACTGAAATATTGGTAGAACTCATAACAGATACCTCTTCCAGTTCATAGCGATGGAGGCGGTCATGGTGGCCGCACTTTTTCGCAAGGATCCGCAGCTTCAGTACTTGGGTCAGGGGTAGATCTTAGCCCGGCTGATTCCTCAACTTCTTGCAATTCTAGTGGAACGGGTACTTCTGCTGATTTATCTGGGTCCCAGCAGAGTTCAAAAAGTTTCTTCATAGATCGGATTCTCAGCAATGTTAGCAAGGCAACGAATTTTGCTGTTCAGAAGCGCCGTAAGTATTGTTAGGTCTTGAAGTAGTAGCTATCCTAACATTTCTAATTGTTTTATTTTCCAGTGTTTCATAAGGCTTTCAATCATCCAGATTTCTGTTTGGAGATGTTGTCCAATCATAATTTACCAAATTTGAATGAACTTCTGAAAAGTGTCCAGAATAATCAACGAGAAGGAGAAAGATATGATGTGACGTTTCTTCCAATCTCTACTTCTAATGTTACTAAAGTTTTTTTCGACAATAAGTTTTGCCTATTGTAGTCTTTTGCTTCTCCACCGTTGAATGTAAACCAGTCTGGAAGTTTTGTCTCTGGACATGCAGCAAGGAGGGCTTCAGTGAGGACGGATCCATGGATATCTAGTAAACATGAAAAAAGTGGTGAATGGTCACAAATCACTGGATTTTCCGACATTTCCGGTATTTCTGACACAAGTTTAAGTAATACGGAGGTTGGTGAACAAAATTTGACTTCTTGATCGTTAACTTTGTTTAGCATGTTCCTACAGTTAGGAAAAAAAGAAAAGAACAAGAAAGCGAGGAGAAACAACTTTGGTTTGTTTAGACGTATGGCGATGACGAAGAGGAGATTAGTGGTGATCTGCCGCCTGCAGTCATAATCGATGACCCCTATTCGTCTCCTAATTCACATGGCGGTGTCGCCGTTGCCGCCCATTATCCTTATCATCTGTCTGGGCGCCCCACCTGCATCCGTGAGAGATGTAAAAGTATGCAATCATTTAAACTTGTAGCATCATCATCCTAATATTTGTAAAGCGATACTTTTGTTCTGAACAATTAATTGCAGCTGGTATGTTCAACCATTCTGGTGAAGATGGGAACTCCGTTTTTGTTAATGAGTCAGCTCTTGAAGTGGATGCATGTTTGCCTCAGAGTGGGATTCTCGAGGAAATGTCGACTTCGGAAATGGTGACTATTTTCTTTTCCAAAGGTTGTATTTTTTCATGTTTTTCATTATTTATTTCTTCAGAGAATGCTTGAACCGTCAATGAGCATTCCTTTCGGGAGTCGCTGTTCAGTGGCAAGTGACTGTAGCTCGACTCTGAGCTCTCAGGCGCACTATGTGCAGGGCTCATTCACGAGCATCGATTCTCAGATGTTATATGAGGCAAATAATCTCGATCCTGACGCTCTCAATCCAGATTATGGGTACTATCCAGCGACAGAAATTTTAGGCGAATATGGTTTGTTGCTGTGTTTTGTTGTATTTTCGTGTTCAATTATTGCAGGTGTTTATTTTTAGTTGCTCGTGTGTCTCCTCCACTAGTGCCGCATTTTGAACAAAGCTTCATGCCTATGGAACATCTTTCTAATATGCAGGAGTCTCCGGTTTCTGAACTAGTTTCTGCGACTGCTCCACGTTCTGAATACGAGTACAGTCGTCGTCATATGGAATTGGAACAAGAAGTCGAAGATCAGGCGATTATGGTAGGTCGTTTATCCTTTGTTATTTCATTTTTTTTTGAGTAATTTTCCAGAAGGTTAGTTTTCTTTATAGATTAATGAGCGCCTTCCTCCACGAGAACAACTGCTGTATCGCCCAGGGATGGACATTTTGAATGCTGGGGTACTCATTCAAGCACATGGTCATTGTGAACCTGTTTGGTACACGGAAGGCGAACGTTTCAACATATTTAATGGAGCGGAGGTGATTTTTCATAACATATAATGTTTTGTTTATGTTATTTTTATCTGAGTTCTTATACAGGCTGTTGAAGCTGTACCCGACGAAGGAAATATATCATTGACAGGTGATCAGTTTGAACTAGAACTGGTAAGAACACCTCCACTACTGGATGATTTTGAAGGCGTCAGAGATCTTCCGGTACGTGCTCATCTTTGCGTTTCATGGTTTTATAGTTAATAATTCAGCATTTTATTGCCTGATTGTCCCATTGAATTAGATCGAACAAAGATCATTAGTGGAGAACTCGTAATTCGACATAGAAACAAGTTACTCACGCTTTTGAAATCTTAACGGATTGTAATTTTATTCCTACTTTTCTGTAGAAGATATTGTGGATGTTCAGAATTTCCACCTTGATCACAACAGCTTTATCCACGATTATCTTGATGAGGATGCTCTCTCAATATCGATGAGGAATCTGAATGTGATGTGCAACGAGCATGACCCGCATCGTTCAGAGGAGAAATAGTCTGTGCAAATTTGGATTGGTTAGTCTTCTAGAATTTCTTATTTTGTAGTCCTTATTGTTTGATTTTGATTATCGATTGATTTGTTCAATCTTTTAGTGGTAGTGAGTACTAATATTCCCGTATGGCACTCGCTTTACTAACTGAATATAGGTATAATGTGGAGTATTCACTTTATTCGCGATACATTTCCCATTTAATGAGTACTAATTATGTTTTTGAAAATAGGAAAATCATAGTAAATCATTGAGACAATGAAAGCAAAGCATTCTGAGCTGTTTTCTTGAGATTTCTTTGAGCCATATCTCTACATATCGAATTGTTTTGCTTGGTCAATTCGTATTAGTTTCTAGTTGTGACTGATTTGGGTAACTAATACGTTGTAAGTAAAGTCGGTGTCCCCCTATTCACATCGCATATCGGCAATCTTCTGGATTTTTTCTCGATGTGGATAGTGGGGTGTCAACTAAGCAATTTCTAATTTCACATTCGATTTTTTACTCTTGGTATCTCAACGTTTCTCAGTTGTTTCAATACACTTTTCTCTTCATATATACCATCACATTTACAAATGATCTACAAAGTAGGTTAGAATATTCTGTGAAGCTTTACACTTTACTTTTCGCAACTGAAGTTACTATTTGTTTCCAACCTTGTTTCTTTTTGTATATATAGAATAGACTACTAATTCCAAATGAAGACTAGAAGTTGTGTCATTGGTTTATCGATATCTGGTAAATTTGTTCAATTATTCTTTATTTGCTCAAGTAATAAATCTTTGAAAGTTGAAAGGATTCGATCATTGAGACAAATTTCAGTGTTCCAACAAAAACGTTGTGTTTTATTACTATTTCTTGGAAAACGAATGCCATTACACACAACAAATGGGTTTTGGCTTTCCAGATAATGACGTATTAGAGGTTTGGTAAGAGCTCAGACAAATGCTTTGTTAACCATTACTGCCCGATCCGGTATCTGTGGGTTGAGTTTTTATCCGCGTTGAAACTGAAGTTTTTCGCTTTGTCGCTTTGTTACTTTTTGAAACTATCTTCAGTAGGGACTTTTGTCCGGTTTTTGTGAGCACTCTTCGTGGGCAGTCTATATATTGATCTCAAATGCTCTTATGCTAAAGAAGGCGAAGCAAGGAATTGAGCTGCACGGGAAGCCTAAATATCTTCAGATCATTTTGGAGTGGTTGTCTTCTCTGAGTTCTGTTCTCGTGGACTTATTGTTTTCTACGTGTCCGGGAAATATCACGAGTCTGTGACAACACAAAATCTTGTTTTATTCGCTTGGAATAGAAAGTTAAAACTCGTCTTATGTTAGACGTATTCGTTCGTGCCAAGATTTCCAATAGCAACAGTCGTAATTTCTATGCGGTATGAAGTGTGACTCTTGTATAAAATTTATAGAAGTATCTGTTTGAGGTTCGCATACCAATATCTTATTCCAAAAGAGCTCTTGCAATCCGCAGTAATGAAAATCACAAGTGGAAAAGTGGAAAATAGAAATCACAAATGAGAAAGTGACTCGTATAAGAGAACTGCATTGAGCGAACTGATGTGTGGATTCACTTTTGTCGGACTTCTTTTAATGATACGGAAAGAACAGTAGCGCGTTCGTTCCCCACCGCAAACACCTGCGGTCCGAAGTTTTCTAAATGTCTTAGCAATCTTGTGGTTGTATTTCGCTTAATAACCTACCATAAAATTTATAGAAGGCAGAAAATAAGAAGTAAAAGATTATGCTAGGGCCTGCACAACCAGTGAGGACGGGCTATCTAAGTATCCAAGTGTCATTAAAGCCAATTTCGTTAATCGCTCAAATGATTGGATCTGCCGGCTTTTCCAAGGTCATAGTGTGACGAAAATGAACAAGGCAGCTCAACTGGTTATGCCAAAAGCGAAGGCGCGAAAAGTTAGTCGAGTAATGTTTTATAACAGTCTGTGTTAGCTTTAAAAGGATATAGGATAAAGCTCTCGGTTTTGATCAATCCCCGAGGGATGCGCTATGCATTCGACTTCACTAAGTATCGTTGGAGGTGATTGAGTGCACATATGGCCTTTACAATGACTCGCGATGGCCTACCGATATATCGAGCCAGTGCTGCTATTCTCCCAGACAAGTCTAGTACCAATTTGGCGACCCCGGTGTGATGGAAGGCTTGGTGAGCCACAGGTGGTGCTAGTTTAGGAATCGAAAAATATATTTATATATACGAGCTTATAAATTGATCTTTTCGACCAGATGCGGGGTTGGTATAGGTCTTCGTTGTTGTTGTTGTCGTTGCTGCTGGTGTTGCTGGTCGGTAGCTGACGTTCCGGTGTTTTCGCCTTCCTTTGAGCCGTGCTGTTACGATTGGGACTCTGTTATCCAACCGTTCACCTGTATCACCGGTAGTACCGTTGATCGTCGAGTGACTCGAGCGGTTGCCAGTAAATCTTCCACTTTTCCCTGTCGCGTGCTAGAGTAGGCCACTGGGTTCTGCTCGCTCTAGGAACTCGTAGAGCATCATATCTTTCTTCTAGGCTCTTCGTAAACGGTGGTCTTCCTGCAGTACGTTTGACATCCCGAGGAATCCAGTCACTAACGGCTCTTGTCCATCGGTTGTCATTCATACGCATTACCTGTCCGGCTCACCTCACCTTCGATTGTTTGGCGTACAGAGCGGCATCTTTGATTTTTGATCGTTGACGCAGGTCGGAGCTTCGGATCCTATCCCTTACTTGTGTGAAACGGGATACCCCTAGCATCGTCCTTTCGACTGCGCGTTCGATAACTCTGAGTGACCTTTCATCCTGCTTACGCAGCGACCAGTTTTCTGACGCATACCTTAATTCAG